AACAAAACAAACAGAAATGCAAAATACCCAAGGGCCCTGGAGTTCCTTGGGTCGTGCCGGTGTCGGGGGTGGGTAGCAAGGAGGAGGGTATAAAGAAATAGAAAATGGGGATACTACTCTTACAAACAGAGCTGTGATTTAGAAGAGGACAAAACCCCAAGACCCACGAAGCAACGAACCAGGAGGAAGCGAAGGCGTCAGCGGCCAAAGCAACAGGCGTCCAGGGCACTGGAGAGCCGGCACGGCTGCTGCCTGAGGGCCTGCACCGGACCCCAACAGACGGCAGTGAACTCGGGCCTTGATCAAGTGGATGGGCACTCCCTTCCAAACTGGGTAGTGGCATGAACAAGGCCTGGGGGCTGCCCGTGGGTAAGGTGGGGGGACACAGTTGAGTACGGGGAAACCAGGTGTCACCTGGAGCCTGGGGATGTGCTGGAAGCCATGGAAATGAGGCCCAGGTGGAGTGTGGGGCCAGAAGTCAGAGGGCCCTCCCTTCTGGATGCTCAAAAGAGAGCCATGAGGAGCCATAAGTTCCTGAGCAGGAGTTTTAGAGCAATTCATTTGGCAACTTAGTGTGTGTGGGGGGTGCTGGGCAGGAGGCAGGTCCTAGAGCTTGTCAGTTGCTTGTAGCAGGGTGACGATGGGAACAGGCAGAAAAGGGTGGAAGAAAGACCCCCAAGCCCCAGGAGACCGGAATAAATGGAGAGGCCCACTTCATACCCAGGGCTTCAAGGCTCCAGGCAGTGGGGTCTCAAACAGACACAGGCCAGGCACTAGCCCAGGGGACTGGAGGGGAAGAATCTAGGGTGACCAACCATCCTGATGTGCCCAGGACTGAGAGGGCTTCTAGGGACATGGGCCTTTCAGTTTTAAAACTAGAAAAGTGCTGAGTGAACTAGGATGAGCTGGTCACCCTAGAAGAAACAGTGCCTTCAATTTTCAGCAGGTTGAATTTAGCCAAGCATTAAAACAGTGTGGCACCTAACCACCTAACCGAAACATGAAGTCGGGGTTCTCTGCCCAGTTCTGTTGAGGGCTTTGCACATTTCACCAGAGAGTATTTTTATCAGGAACCACATGCCCCCCAACATGTAAACTGGTCCCCGTCCCATCCTCTTACCTCCACAGGGTCCAGGGACCCCTCTGCCCCATCCCATGGAGCGTCCTTATCTGAGCCCATGGATCACCTCTCCCCAGTTCTCCTTTGAGCTCTGGGGTGACTGCTAGCAATTTCTCCAACCCTGCAGAGAGGTTTCCCTTCTTAAACCAGAAGGGACACCAGAGATCCTCTCCTTACTCCCCAAGTCACCCTCAGGGCCTAAGAGGCCAACTGGCGACAGGATTTTGCAACCGCCCTCCTTGGCAGCCAAGGCTCTTTCCTGCAGACCTCTTGGTGTGTCACACACCAGCCTGCTGCCTGGCTCTGCTGCCATCTGGCTCTTGCAACTGGACATCATTTCACTCTCTCCCTTTGGGACACACAGTCCTACTGGGAGGGCAATAATGCGGTACGCAGGTTGACTTGCTTGCATGTTTCTGAATAGCAGCTCCGAGAGAAATACTCTCATCTCTATAATGACACAGATGCACAGAGGGCCTGGGTCTCCACAAGCCTTAGTTTCTCCACTAAGGACTAAAAGTAAAGGGAAAGAAATGAAAAAAGAAAGGCCGCAGGGCAATAATTCTTAGAAGAGCGACCCTCACACTTGAGCGTGCATGGGAAGCCCCCGGAGGGCCTGTGCAAGTACAGACTGCAGGGTCCCATCCGCAGAGTATCTGCTTCAGTCGGTCTGGGGTGGGCCCAGAACTTGTATTTCTAACAAGTTCCCAGGGGAGGCTGATGCTGCTGATCCAGGGACCACACTTTGAGAACCACCGTGCTAGAGTACAGCATCCATATGTAGTTAACGGGAAGCATGCCAACATGTCTAAAACATATGTCTTGGATGGATTTCTTTTAGAAATCTGTTTTATTAAGTCACAATGGTTTCAAAGTTTAAAAAGTATCTCTTGATGGTGTTTTGAAGAGGATGCTATTTGTGGAAGACTCTTCTAAGAAGCCTTTTTTGGCCTCATGCCCCCAACCCCCATCAGCAAGACACAGTCATTCTGTCCATCCCCTGTAAGCACAGCATCATCCAAGCAGACACCCTGACAGCCCACGGGACACCGCAGAGCCCCCGTCCCTCTACTGGGCTGGGGTCTGCCTGAAGGCAGATGCGGCCTTGCTCAGACGAGGGCCACAAATGCTGTCGGAGCCAGGAACACAGTGGGTGCGCCATACACGTTGAGTGAGTACATGTAAACACGCTCCAAAGACACAAGCCCTCTCAGTCTAGCAGAGGTTAAGGCATCTTTCTCCACACATAACTATGTCCAATTTAATTTGTACTCCTCTGGGTTTACTCCTGGCAGCCATTCAAGTTGACTAGCACTGAACAAACCGACGCTTTCCCGGGGCTGCTCCAGCCAGATTCAGATTCCACCTGTCTTCCGTGGGAGAGGCCGCCGCCCGGGGGCCCTGAGGCTCTCTGTTTCTCCAAACTGCCATGTTGTATTTTTCTCTCTAACGCCCACCCTGTTCTCCAGCAGACCTGCAGGTTCTCTGACTCTATCCCTCTGCCCACGCCTCAAAGAAGATGCCCGTCCATCTCTTCGTGGTGGAAATCACCCATTTCATCTCTTACTTAAGAAACTGTTTTTGACTCAGGTTCCTTGAGGACCCAAGTTCTTGGAGCCCCCAGTGTATTTAGTTTGGGGATACTGGAAGCTCAGTTTTCAGTAAGGTGGGCAATTTTTACTAAATGCAGCTGTCAAGGCCTCAAATTAGAAGCAACATGAGCCAGTCGGCATGACAGTGCAGTAGCTATCTGTTCTATCTGCAGGTTTTAGTTACCAGCCTTGAAGCCAAAAAGAAATGGGCTTCTTGGAAACAGAAGTGATGGAATTTGGGTTGTGAATAATATAACACACCAGCTTTCCTCAGACTATGGGGAATACTTTAAAATAAAGTTCTTAAGATGGACAAATGACATGAAAAACACCACCACCAGCCCTCGAAGCTCCTCCTATGTCTGAGTCCCTCACCAGCCCTTCCTTTCCTCTCTCTCCAGCCCAAGAAGTTAGCAAGTGCTGCGGCTTTAAGAGCGGGAAGGTGTTGTTTTAAGGGCCTCTAAGCCCCCCTTCTCAATTTCAGCTCCAAGCTGAGATCACATCCCCCACAGCAGCCAAGGGACAAAAGCCATTTATCAACCCATCTGATAAAACTTCCAGTGGGCTGGATCTTTATCTAGACCAAACCGAGATGCACACCAATTGCAAACTCCTGTTTCTCCAAAAGGGGGGTTTCTTTTTAAAGAAAGGGGGTCACTCTTTATTTTATTTTTTTAGTTTTTGGGAGAGAACTAAATCAGCCTTTCCACCAGACCCTTCTGTAGTTGGGGAAACTGCCTTTTAAAAGAGGAGGAGGACACCCTGCTGCTTGACCCAGTACGGAGGGTTTAAAAATCCGGGCCGAGGGTGCATGGGGGCCAAGGGCTCCGTGGGGGTACTGACGGCCCCCCACCCCGTCTTGCCCTTGGCCGGGGCCTCCCCATGGAATCCAGGGCTGGGAGCAGGTTGCCGCTCCTAGGCGCCCCCAGGGCGCGCAGCTGCTGAGTGGGCCGGGCGCGCCAGGGGCCCCAGGGCAGGGCTGGGGCGAGAAGGTAAACTGAGGCCTCGCCCCTTATTGCTGCCTGCATACCGCCCGCCGGGAGTCCCAACTTGCAGGCTGGCCGAGCCTGGACTGCCCAGTTCTGCCAGTTCCTGAAACCCAGTTGGCTGAGCAGCAAAACAAAACAACCCAATCCCAGTCTAACTCAAGTCCTTTCTTGCAAAGCTGGGTTGTGCGCGGAGGCTACGGATCCGAGTCTGGCTGCGAGTCTGGCTGCGAGTCTGGCTGCGGAGTGAAACAAGCTCGCATCTTTGCAAGAAGACACCTTAGACCCCCGCAACACAATGGAAACGGCCGGGAGATCCCGCCTTGCGACGGGGACCATTTGGTCTGTGACACTGGGTTTATTTGTATTTTTAGCAGGAGAAAAATGGGTATAAAGGGTTTAACTGGCGTTTCCAGGCTGTGAGTAGCATATGGCAAAAATGAAATAAAGTTTTATGAAACATTATAAAGAAAACAGACCGGGGATTTAAGTTTCGTGCCTTCCCCCTCCCCCGAAAGGAAAAAAAAAAAAAAGTAAAGAAACTGCAGCGTTTGGGAAGGAACAAATGCTTCTCTGTGGAGTTGGTCTCCCTTCCCCCAACAAAAACAAGAGGTCCGGGCTCGGAGGAATTTGAAAGCAGCGATCTGCCAAAAACATTGTGAAAAACTATGGGGGATTCATTGGAAACAGATGGGCTTTTTCAGCTTTAATTCTGAAATTCTCTCCCTTTCTGACACAATAAAAACAAACAGGGGGCGACGCGGAATGTTATCAAACAGGAATACGGGCTCGCTGGGCCAAGACCGTGGGCATCCCCGCGTGGGGGCGCGTGTGGGGGCGGGACGGGGTCCCGGAGGAGGGGCGGGCGGGGACTTGGCTGGGACCTCAGGGGCTCCACCCCTGGGTACTCGGCAGGTTTGCAAACTGGTGGGCGAGAAGCCGGAAAAAGTGCCCCCCGCACCGAGGCCGTGCCCCCCTTCTCTCCCTCCTCCCGGGCCCCTAAGGGGCGCGTTGCCGGTACCCCCTTTCGCGGAAGCAGGGAGGCGCCGCCGGCCCCTGTGACCTCCTCGCCCGCTCCTTTTCGTTGCTGCCCGGGCGGGCTGCCCCCGGGCATCCATCGCGCCTTCGCTGGGGCGCGGGAGAAACAAAGACCCGTGGATATGGGAGGCGGGGGCCCGAAGGGAGCCGGCGAACTTCAGCCCCGACTCGCTCGCAGACATGTGGCCCAGTGCTGCGACGAGGCGCGGGGAGCGGGCGCGGCGGGCCCGGCCAGCTGTCCCCGGGCCAGGGGCAGTGCCTTACCTGCGGGGAAGCTGCAGAGAAGGAAGGCGAGGGTCGGCCAGAATCCCAGGGCTGAACGTCCTGCCCCTCTCCCCATACCCATCCATCCAGCTCGGCCTGTTACCACTAGCCTCTCCCTGGAAGAAGAGTTCAGAAGAAAAGAAGAAAATAAATCACGCTGCGGAGAAAGGGCAGCCTCGCTCCGCCGGCGGGAGCAGCGAGCCGGGAGGCTCGGTCCACCTCGGCCGCGGGCGCCCGGCGCGCCCCCCCTCCCCGCGCGCCCCTCCCTCGCCATCCATCACTCGGCTCCCCTCCAATGTCGGCGCGGCCCCGCCGCCCCAGCCGCCGCGCGGTCCGCCCCCTCGCGCTCGGGTTTCAGCGCGGCCCGCGGGGGGTGGAGGGAGAGAAGCTGGGCGGGGACCTGGGGAACCAGGGGCCGGGGGCCGGAGGGCGCGCCCGGGTCCCCGACCCCCACGGCTGTCCCCGCAGAAAAGGCCCAGTCCCCCGGACGGCCAAGCCCTGCAGAGCGCAAGGGCAGCAGCGCGCCCCTCTTAATCTTCCCCATAAATATCCAACCCAAGTGGAAACTGTGCTTGGTTGGAGATAAACTCCAGGTCCTTTTTCCAACTAGACTGCCGTCCCGAAGCCGCCACCGACACCCCCTGGCTCATGTGTCTCACTCAGATGTGTCCCCGGTGCAGGAGGCTGAAAAATCCGCTTCCGAATTGGCCGGGGGTGGCCCGCTGGATCTCAGCCACTAACGCACCTCCAGGCTCCAGCCCGCCGTAGTCCCGGGGCCACCCACCCTGCCTGGGCTCGGCCGCCTCCAGCATCCCCTCCAAGCACCTCGCTGCTTCCTGAGGACTTGCCCTGGCTGCACCTCTGAGTTGGGGGCCTGCGAGCCTGACGGAGGCGGCAGGACCACAGCTGCCACCTCGGAGGAGGTGTGGATACAGCGGTCCCCGCGGTGCGCAGAGCCTGGCAGCCCCAAGGCCACCAAGGCCGCTCTTGGGAGGGCATTCGGTTGGTGACTTCCCCTTAACTTGGTCGCTTATTTTTCCAGGAGAAAAATGTCTCCTCCCCAAGGTTCCCTCGGTCCTGCAGCTCTTCTGCTGCTGTTGGGATATTTAAGCCACTGGCAACTTCTCCTGCGAAACATCTTTTGGATGGAACACAGGCCAGAGCAAGTGTCTTTAGTCAGACCAATTCCTCCCTTGGCCCCCCCTTCACCTCACTTCCAAGCCTACTCATCTGGTTCTTTGGAAAATAATTCTGAGTTTTTATCCCATTTAGATGTTTCTCTTAAGCACTATCGCAGTCCTCACTTGCTGATGGCCACACAGGCGGCAGGGCCGCGTCTGGGTTAGGACTCTGCCCGCCAGGAGGGGACCACAGCTCTGGAGGGGCAGGGGAAGAAAGCCTGGTGTCTGTGAAGACACGGCCCAAAGCAGTGATGCTTCTGAATCCGGCTTCTACAAGTCAGTAAGGGGGACCAGTGCCCCAGCCAGCTGTGCCCCGGGCAAAAGGAGGCTGTTGTTTCCTTAGGGCAAAAGGCCTCGATGGCACTGTTCGCCTTCACAGTTGGGGTGCCACCGTATTTCCCTCAAATATTTAGGTCTTGGTCTAACAGGCTCTGTCTAATTCCCCTCAAGCCGGGTTCATTTTAAACTCCCATTTGCAAAGTGTGACAAGTTTGTCCAGTGACAGCCCACCACCTCAAATCCGGGTCTCGAATGGCATTCCTCTCAAGCTTGGCCTGTCCTTGGGCCAGAGCCAACACTTTATTTTACAGAATCACAGGATGGCCCTGGCACACTGAGGCAGGCACAGAGCCCGATGGCACAGAGGCACCTTTGAGGTCCACCAATTAACACCATTTGCTGGATTCTGCCTTTCGCAACTTAGTTCTAAAGCTTCTCGCTAATGAGAGAGAAGGGGTCTATTAGCATTCCCAGCAGCCCCGACAGTAAACTCTCCAACAGAACTGCTACAGCATCTCCAGGTGGGAGAACACGGCCTGGGAGCCAGCAGAGACTGTGCAGGCTTCAGAAGACCCGAAAGCAGGCCCCTCCAGCACTGTCTTTGCCCAAGAGTGGACCTCTGGCAGCAGGACGGTAAGCCTCTACACCTCAGCTGCTTCATCTGTAAGGGGCAGGCTGAGGACATCGTCACCCCGAGACTGCAACTGAAACAATCTGGGAGGGGCACCAGGCTGTGGGAGCTCCCCAGGCCCCCTGCTAGGGGCCTGACCGCCATTTGGGGAGGAGATCCAATTCTTATGGCGTAAGCAAATAATCTGGGAAAGGGATGCAAAGGGCTTTTTTCTCACGAGGAGGAATGTGTGAGGCTGAATTTGGACATCACAGAAGTGCAGATTTGGCCCTTACATATTTGGACTATCAAGAGAAATCCAGTCCCAAATATGGCAGTATGGGGTTGTGTTGTCTATACTGGCCAAAACAACCAGCTTATTGACAACTCTCTAACTTCGCAAGAATAAGAAATTCTTGAAATGTTGGGTTTTGGAACTCAGCACTCCATTCGCCATAGAAACTCACTTAAAGCATAGCTGACTTGAGACAAACAGCTCCCATGATACAGTCTGACCACTTACGGGGTCTCCCCCAGTAGCCTGGGCCTCAGGGTAGAGACCTTCTCTCACGTGGCTCTTGCTGCCTCCCCCAGCCCTGGCTGTGGAGGCCCCGCCACTGAACCCTCGCCCCCATCTCTCCCTCTTCACCTTCGGGGGCTGGGGTTGTGTGCTGGCGGGACAGAGAGCTTCTGAAAGGCCAGGCTCTGCATAAGGCGGAAGCCCTCCCTGGGGCAGGAGTGGGCAGGGACTCCGGCTTTCCCTGCTCAGGATATGAACAGGGTGTTCCCAAATCCAGGGCCTGAGTCATCAGTCAATAAATCTATATTGACTGCTGCCTGCTAGCCCCTGGGAGATAGAGAAATAAAGAAGACAGACCCTATCTTTGAACTGCTGGTAGAACGAGATATGAGAGGAAGGTGAGGGGTCAAGGAGCGGTGACAGTGGATGACTAAGTGCCCGGAGAAGGCTTTGCCGAAAAGGTGGTTGTCTTGAAGGATTCATTTTTAGTGAGAATGACAGTAATAAGGGCTAATGTTTCAACGTGCTCTTACATTACGCAGGGGCTGGCTAAGTACTTTACATTTGTAGACACTTGAAGCTAAGGTCGGTTCTATTATCATCCCCGTTTTGCGGATGAGATAACTGAGGCTGAGTGAGCTTAAGTACTCACCCAATTACCGGCTAATAGATTGCAGAGCCGAGCACACCGAACCCCACACCTGACCTGCTGAATGTGCCATTCACTCCAATGATGCAAGTCCGCACTGGGCTTAACGTCAGGGTGAGACAGATAACTTAACAATCACTTTCAGTAAAGCATAACTGACTCTGACGGAGAGACACAGAACACAGGTGCCAGGGCCTCCAGACCCGCCTGGGGTGCAGGGGGGGAACAGAAGTTTTCCCAGTGTGGGAGCGTGCCAGGGGAAGATGGTGGGCAAGGGAGGGGGAGCAGGGCAAGGATTCCAGGTAGAAGGAACAATGAGTACTACATGTACTGGGGTGTGGCTTGCCTGAGGAGCTGGAAAACCTTGAGGATGGCTACAGGACACAGAGGTGAGGCTGCAGAAAGAGAGCAGGAGCTCCGGAAAGCTCGTGAAGGGCCAGTGCCTGGGAGCCCCACCCAAGGCCTCAAGAAGGGGAGGGATTTATTCTTTTGGGAGACCACTGTGGGGAGATTAACAATAATATAGATGCCCAGGCCCCACTCTGAGCAGCTGAATCTGAATCCCTGGAGGTAGAGCCTGGGCATCAGCAATTTTTAATGAGCTCTCCCAGGTGACTAATGTGTAGGGACTCGCTAGGTTTGTAAGTTCAGTCACCCTCCATCAACTCTGGGTGCACATAAGACCCAGGTTGAGTCAATCAGTTTATCCTCTCAGACTTAAGGCAAGACAGATAACTTAATCATCACCTTCAATAAAGCAGTGATTGGCACATGACCCAAGCTGACCAATCAGAATCTCTCCTGCGACTGTTGCTATGGGGGATCCTCCAGTTCTGGTCTCTGATTCCTACATAGGATGAGGCTGGGGGTAGCCATCTGATGGGAAGGCGAGTGTTTGGGAGTGTTGTGGGTGGAAGCTGTGTTTGCAGAGTTGTTATACTGTTTTTACTCAAGATGCATTTTATCTGGTGAGCTTTTGGGGCACTGATGGAGATTTTCAGGGCTAACTCTCCCCATGCCACTTTTCAGCATGTGATCCTCCCTGTAGCTCCTCCTTAGCTGCTCTGAGCTCTCCTAGTACCTGCTCCAGCTACGGGAACCAGCAAAGACCCTTATTTTGCTGAAACTGTTTTGATTTCGGTTTTTCTCCCTTGTACGCACAGACTCCTAACTAATAAGGAGGAAGCGAATGGTCCAACACTGGTCCCAAGAAGCATTTTTGCCAGCCTCAGAAGTGCAGGGACATGTTGTCAATGGCTCTTAATCCATCATTCATTTACTTGCAAAATTTCTTGAGCCTAATTCCATCCCCTCCCCCCAACCTTTGGAAAAAATTTGCCTGTACCATGTCTTGAGGAACTCAGTTGCTCCAATTTACAACTCAGAGTGGGACCCAATCCTTCTTTTTAATTTATCCCTCAAATTCCTCTTTCAAACTTCAAGGGCTACCTGGGTCTGGTTGTCTTAGATTTGACGAACCAGACCTTGTTCAGTGTCTCTATAACCTTCAAGGTTTTATAGACTTTGACCACATCACCTTTCTGGCTTCACCTTTCTACACTCAAGTCTTTCAAGAACAAAGCAGCTCAACTTCTCGGGAAAGCCTTCCATCTGGGTGATTACTTTACTCACCTTTCTACAGTTCTGAGATATTTTTTCTCAAGGAGAAGGTCATAAACCTGCCAGGTTTGGGGACAGCCTGGCAGAGGGAGAATACTATTTTTGGCTTGGTTTCCAATACCATTTCGGAGAGCATTTTCTGAGTACTTGGTTGGTCCTGCATAGCCTTTAGCGAACAAACATCTTGCAAAGACCCCCAAGATCCCTTTTTGTGGCTATAAACTGACTGGACAGAGTCCATTTTCCTGTAATTTGGA